CACTATGAAACTGCTTTGTCATTTACTTGTAAGTAGAATAAAATATTCGCCTTTATAAAAGAATTACTGTATTCTCTAAAGCCAAAATAGGCAATATTGTTCACTAAGAAATATTTCCTATCTATTGATAGGTATCCTGTTGAAAACAGTGTCATGAAACCATGAATTTAATATTCTCTGACATTCCAAGAAATTGATTCTGATCATTAAGCATTTATGATGTTAATACAAAAATCTGAAATGATAAGAATCATTTGACCAGAAATTTCATACACTAAAATTAGCCAACAATTACTATGTATTATACTGTGTTGTCAAGTTTATTGTAATCCACTTCTGTTTATTTTCTTTCATTGTGCTGTGAGAAATGTAAATCTAGATCATTTCAGTATTACGTTATGTCCTAGGGTAGTTTAATCAAACATTGGTTTGAAACACTAATTTAACCTGTAAACCAATTGGATAAGATCACTCTGACTTGTTATCTCAGTGAGTCACTATGAAAATATAGTTGGATGAACAAACAGATGAGTAGTCTGTTTGAAAATCGAATCCATTAGGCTGCTGGTAACAAATGTTTGTTTTCACTTGGAGTTGACAACCACCTATTCCTAGCCTGAGTCAGCATGACTTTGCTTACGAAAAGAATAGGGTGTGATACCGTTCAACCAACAGATGCTAACTTGCTAGTTAGACTTGAAAAACGTGATAACCTGATTACCTATACTGGATGGCATGATTTTAGTATAACAGAAAACTGTAGGGTGTAAATAATTTAGGCAATGGCGAGGGTGGCAGAGAACTGGCATTCGCAACGATTTGTTAGACAGACATGTGACAATAGTTAAGTGCTTCTCTCTGGTAGTTACCATTTCAAAGATCATGATACGCGCTCCTAGAGAGGGAGTTTAGAAAAAAAATTGTTTTCAGAACTGAGAATCCTACCTAGTTACACAACTTATCCTGGTCAGTGGTAAAATCCAACGAGTACGAACGTAGTTCCCACAAACAAGAACATTATTTAGAAAGCTGAGTAACCGATTTTAGGCAGAATTCCCTTATGCTCGGTAAACACTAAGACTAATTCACGTTGGCTTTTCAGTACTTCAATAAGATGAAAAGCCATGTGCCTGCTCCAAACGACATATGAAAACTAAAAATCATCAGCAACGCCTTTCTCTGTCTTCAGCTCCTCTGTCAGTTAACAAATTATGTTCCTCGACACCTTACTTTCCACTCATTAGTAGCGACACAAGCTGAGAGAGCATCTTTCTAGATTTCTGAAAACGATGCTACCAGTCGAATTCGTATTTTGACAGTATTTCTGGGAACCTAAACTGATAAACAGAACACAGTGATGGTATCGTGCGAATCTGCTTCGAAAACCGATTGTTTCTGAACGATAAGAACTTCAAACATAAAAATGAACATTGTCTCACTTGGAGGCTACCGACATCACGCCAGAGATGAACATAAACTAATCATGTTGCTATAAACCACCTCTGTAGAAGATCGACGGTGGGTTTGCACTCTATTCGGAGTACCCGCTTGAGCTTTATGTATGTCTGGCTAAGTGCGTTTGTGCGTAACTTAGCACAGAGAACACGACAGTGATAAGTTGCCTGGTCCTTGACTTGGAGATAAAAACATAACCCCTGAATATAGGGTGGTGGTAGCTGAGCATTTATCTGAACATAATACCAATTCCCAGTCGGGTCAGGCCTGGCTCAGTATCCAGTCTTCTGTGAAACAGGAGTGAAGACAGTTAGCAACTTACAGTCAAAGTTTGGTAAACGTTACTGAAATACATGGCTCGAATTGCATATTTTCGAACCGACTAAGTGGCCCACCACTGATCCTCCCCTGCCTTTTAGATAAGACGACAACCTATAATACTGTTATTATCGGCATTACTAAGATGTTATAGTTATTTCGCTCCAAAATACTGTACAAGAAGTAAATTTGTTGAAATACTACATACTGAGAACTCCATACTGTGTACAAGAAAATTTCGCCTGGAACTGAGTGATTATCATTATTATTAGAGATGTGACTCAGTGGTTTAGGTGGGTGATTATCAACCAGTGGGTCATGGATTCGATCCCCGCCCAACCTACCGAGGTTTGGACACGCAGGTAGTATCACTAACCCTCACACAATAGATGTGGCCCATTGCCTACTGCACAGATGTGAACAAGGTGGGAGAGTGCATTTCATTATTACCACCACTAGTATTAACTTGTAGCCTAATCCTAAACGACTGATGCGACAATGCTCATTGGGTTTGATCTAATCCTGATTAGCAATGCAAGTAGCTTGAACATACATGACTGCGTGGATTTCTTGGTGTGAAAAGTGTATGATGGAAAAGGTATCAGTGCTATGCAACACTTAGCAACTAATTGGACTAATTAAAGGGACCCGTATAAAAAAACAAGATTGCAATTGAGAGAAATGAATCACTGAAAACTTCTCACAAGGAACCACACCGTTGGGCGTAACACTGAACTAATTTTAATCAACCCAGCATTCGTCACCAACCTTAAATTGATGTAAATATCCGTCATCCAACTCTCGTCAAAGATGAAAAGGCTGTTTCGAACGTGAATCGATGAAAAACAGTATCATCTGAAACTTTTCTATTGGAAGATTTTAGTGACGGAGACGGAAAATTACTGTTTACAGTGACTGAGACACAAACTAGCTTATTGAATTCCAAGGAAGTTCGATCAGGCTCGTCTTATTTACCAGAGAGGCTGTAGGTCTTCCTGTACTTATTTTTCTTCACGTAAAATACAAACTTCGTACAATAAAGACACCCACACAAGCACCGTTTGAAATAATATAGAAACACTGAAGAGATAAAATTGTGGTGCACAAACACTACCAGAAGCAAACGATACCCTGAGGTTTTTCACAGGAGTTATGCGAAACCTTTTTATAGACGGGAGGAAAATGGTTTCATTTCGGAGTGACAAAGGAATTCAGTTTGTCATACCTCTTCAAATGACCTGGCCAGTCGTCTCACAACAGCCCGAACTCCATCCTTCAAAAGAGTCGTGAGTAATCTACACTAGGTGCCTTATGACGATTAAGAACTAGGAGTTCCCATCGCACCTTCGCTTCGTTAGATGGGTTTTTCTCAACTAACCATGAGGCAAGACATTGAAGTCGACGTTCCGGATATGGTAAGAGAGGTGAATTGTATTTCAGTGACCCATCCCAAGTCCAGTGGGGTCTCAGAAAAAATGATCAGTGCGTTATCTACTTCACAGACTACCTCATTAATAACGTGCCCTGCTTCCGGTAACTAAGCTGGAACAACTGACGATTATTTCCCTACGTCACTGCTACTTTCATCTTACTCGAGCTTTCCAAACGTTGCGCCTCGGGGCCCTGAAGTGCTTCGTGATCTGTCACGTGAGGAACACGACCGTCAAGAAGCCGCAGTGTTTACTAGCAAGTTCTTCAAAACCAAAACCACCCCCATTCTCATGGTGCCTGGTTAGTGTGGATAAGGCTTATCTACGTTTTCTGAAGTGGCCAAATAAAGCCAGCATATCGTCAATGTCATCCATGTAATACAATAAATACAGCTGTTACTCTACACAACACAACCTGCATGTCTATGACACTGGACGCCACTCAATGTATATAAATCACCAGATACCTTATCTGAGACTAACCACACCCTCAGATGTTTGAGTACAGAGCTTTCAGCACGATGATGTGCTTACCCAGCAGACCTTTTAGTGAGACACTCCCATATTACGTTCAGACCGACAAAGTCGAATGCCATCTACAGATTTCCCCGTCCTGGGCTTCAATCAGGCTTCTAATGACTGTTAAGCCTAGGATACTAGATAGCATTTGTCAGACTGACTCCTTGGCCACTATCACATAAGGATTCCAGTACTTCGTATAAGACTGTAGTAACTAGTGGGTGGGATTCACACCTGATTACCATACACTATCTAAGAATCTCAGTTTATCGAAACGACAACCTCCATCTTTAATTACCTCCGGTACTAACCTACCTGCCACTCCTCGTATATGGTTATTTACAGCCTTCTCAACTTATGCAAGAGTTAGCCTGTTAGTGATCCCGACTGAATAACAGGTAAGTGCTCATGATCTACTACGCAGATAACGTGAAGTAGCCCAGCTAGAGTGATATGGTAACGCTTCTAGAAATTCTGCAACGGACTTTAATTGATTGTTACTAGCTTGCATATTATCTGATTAGGATGTGTTGGCACGTTGTCTTGCTGGCTTTTGGGACTAAACGCAGCCCATCGCCGATTGCTTTTGATGAACTACCCGGTTACATGCGAGCACTTACGACGTTGCAGCTAAATGCAACTACCTAGTTGTTACACAATCCCTGAGCAGAGAAAACTCTACTAAGCGTATCTGACAATTCAGACAAGTGATGACCGGTTTTCTTCACTTTTATGCAAACAGGAAAACGGCACTACTCGGATTCCATCATTGTCATAAACCATAGTTTCCTGCCTACGCGTCCACATAGCTTTGAATTAAATTTCTGCCCAATCGCTTTTTGTGCTACTGAATGACATTTTGTGAGAAATTGTTAACGTCACACCATAATCGATATGATTGCACATGCCTAGTGAGCCGCAGTAAACTCAGCATGCTGACGTTACAGGCTGTTAACTACTAGGACTGGTGACTCTAGTCAGCTTAGCTTAATAGAAATCCCATCACAATGCTGCACCATAACAGAATTTAGGTCGACAGATATCTCCAGAATCCTTGCCATCTGACTTTTCCACTTTGTTTCCAATCTACAAGTAACTTGAATGTTGGGGAATCCTGAGGCATTACTTTTTTTTGAACTCACCATATGACGTGAAATAAGGCTGATTACCATGAGGACTCACATCAATAATTTCAGTATACATGCTTCTTGGGTATATAAAACTAAGTTGTAGCTTCTCATAAGATAACGTCTTCCGGAAATGTTTATTGTCAACAAATTATTTCAGCGGTATAAATCTAGAACTGTGTGTCGCACCAACACCAGGTCTTCCATGTTTCACAGGCTTGTAGGTTATTGAGAACTCTCCGAGGTAGTGACCAAGCATTTCAGGTCGAATTTCAACAGTATTGAACGACTTCCCGTTGTAAACGCCCACAACCGAACCAATCATTTCAGGTACAATAATCATATCTCTAACGTGCGTCTTGACAGCCTACAAATTTCGGCAACTTCAATTAGAAGCTTACTGCTGGTTTCTCACCAAACGGACATTCTTTTTTACTCTTTCTAAGCTTCTTCAGAAGAGTATAGTGCTTTCTGTGCAGACCTCTATTGATTCGCCTTCGTATGCGTGCAGGCATTAAAACAGCTACTTGCTCCCTAGGGTATTCTTCAGTACTATATGCTACGACTTACAAGCTCATGTCAAGCAACTGATCCAAATCAACTCCGCGATAGAAGAACTTTTTGAACGGCCTGCGCCTTTTGGTTTGCTCCTCTGCCTAAATCGATTAGGTAGTCCACATGTTGAGACTTACCATGTTGCGTAAGACAAAACGTGACCAACTAGATTTCCCGCTTGCGATTCGCAGCCAGCAACAAGTACGATGTCCCAACCCGTTCAATCCCCAATGTGAAGCTGTAATGATTATTCACAAGGCAACCTATGTTTATTCTTGTACAGGACATACCTTTGCAAAATTATTTTTGGATCTATCTACTAAAGTGACCTGAATGATGAATGTATATATGGAGTCAGTATTGATTTCAGAGGGTTCGTACCGTTATTAGGTTCCCCCTAACTAGCTTCCGTGTCTGGAAGAAGGGACCGTTAATTCCCTTCGGTTAGTGTGCTACGTGTAAAGCAGACAAAGTGAGACAAAAGCTATGCATGAATTGGAAGGCAACTTAGTTATGATCACACTCAAGTCCAGAATCAGTTGGCGTCAAATCGGCGTTTAGACGGTCAGGATGAGATGTCCAGAACGACCTCTAAGGAGAGGGCATTTCAAGAACTAGTCTTACTGATGGGGAAGACGTTGTTCCTGAACTGTAGTTCAAGGTATTCAAGGATGAACATAAGTGTTCTGTAAGATTTGTGTTACGAACAAGGGTGAATAAAAGGCAAAACGAGGACCCAGAGGTGTTAAGCGTATTTTTTCTTATAACTGAATGCCTCTTTAAATTCTACATTATGGAGGGTCCGCACCAAGTGCTACAAACCGCCTCTCATGTGTTTTAGGCCTGAACTCGGGGACAGACGTAGTCAATCATCTCCGGATATATTTCAGACTCATTTCGTCATTCTACACTAGAGAAGGGGAAGACTTTATTCAGACACCCTATCTGAGGTAGAAAAAACACCTTGAAAATGTGACCAAAATACCCGCGACCGAATCGCTTAAGACTTCATTTCAGGGTTTCGGGCGGTAGGCTTGTGTGAAATTTGGTTTCATCGCACTTGTGATGAGATATATGGTTTTGAGAACTGAAACCACTCGATCTTTTTCGTTCTGTTGTCCCTCCAGTTGTCGGCCATCAAGACTGCGTGTGTCTGATCCTAATTGTGAAAACTCATATTTTTCAAGGTTTAGTACAAGCTACAAGAGTAAAACTTGTGCATTATGGTAGAATGTAATTCAATAAAAATGGAATTAGTTCAAGCTAATCGTAGTTCTTCCAGTCGGAAACCTGCGTTAAATATTCCTATGGGGAACTTCTCTCTTGATAACCTGACTTCTTGCCACACTTTCTCGTCGTCTGCCGGAGCAAAGTTCTAGAAGAAAAAGACCTTACTAGCATTTTGCTTTCCGTAAATGACACCCAAAGACTCAACGGTAGTAGACCCTTGCAATGATCTTGGCATTCTTAACTGACCCTCTCGCCTGTAGATGCACAACCAAGCAACTGAAACGTCCTGCATACTGTCGTGCTACGTCACGCTGCTCAACCGCAGACCTCTGGCCAGCTGACCTGCTTATCCCTGTCTACATACACGGTACAAATACGTGACTCCAACATAATCATCAAATTGCACTTTTCCATTCTCATGCTGTAGTTTGCAATCAAAGTACAACGAATTGGTGGAAAGACTCAGGTACTTTCCACTAAAGTGCGAAAACATTTTACACCTCATATGTTCCAGTCATGACAAACGGAGTATCCTCAATAGGTCGCCATGGCATGGCTCTTTCCTTGGCCTGCAGTGTCAAGTATTTTTCGTGCTTCAATATATGTGCAGGAAATAACTGACTTGATTCAGCAGTCATTATGGCCGTAGAGTTGTGGTTAGCCAGTTCACGTGATCGATATGTCTTGATACTTGTAACCGATGAAATACAAACTCTAGTATCAATATCGACCCGCAGCTATGTTTTCATCCAGGACAAGAGCCTATCTTCACCACGCGGAATACCGGCGAACCACATCAAAGATCATTTCATTTAGTCGACCCTGACAAGTTGAACTTCAGTTGGATTTTTATCGTATTATTATCATCTGGGCTCCTAATGTAGCATAGGACTTCGGTAGCACGTCTCCATTCCACTCTGTTCTCTGAAATCTTTTGAACCTGGCTCCACGACAGCCCACAAACTCTCATTTCCTCCTCTCACGATCTCCTCCAAGCCACCCTCGGATGCCCAACTCGTCGCTTCCCATCTGGGTTCCACTCGAGGGCCTCGTCTGGTGCATAATGTCCCAAAATGGTCTTCTCAGTGCATGCCCAATCCATTTCCATTTCCTTCTGCATATTTGTTGAGCAATAGGTTCTTGGTTGGTTCGTCGCCAGCCATCCACCCTGAGTTCCTTGTTGCTTATTCTTTCTGGCCATCTGAGCTTCAGTAACGAGCCAGTGTAGGTGGCAGTTGTTGATGAATGTCTGTAGTTTGTTGGAAATCCCTTTCGTAACGCGCCAAGTCTCTGAAGCATATAGCAGCACTAACTTGACGCTGGTGTTGAAAATTCGGAACCTGTTCTTTATGCTGAGTGCAGAAGATCTCCACACTGGTTTCAGTTTAATGAACGCTTGTCTTGCTTTTCCGGTCCTGGTTTTGACGTCCTCCTCTGTGCCGCCTGTAGTTGAAACGGTGCTGCCTAGATAGGTGAAAGAGGCTACTTCCTTTAAGTTTCTCCCGTTGATGGTGATTGGAGCTTGTTGGTGGTGGTGTTGGTTGGGCATCTTCATCACCTCTGTCGTCTCTACGGTCACTTTAAGTCTCGTCTTCGCTGCCCTGCCTCTTCTATCAACTTGTTAGTTTTCGCCTGTAGATCTTCGAGTTTGTGTGACATTAGACATAAGTCATCGGCGAAAGCCAAATCTTCTAGGTTCTTTTCCGCGGTCCAACGTGTCCACCTCTTCTCGCTCCCCACTGTTTGTTGCATGATCCAGTCCAGTCAACCACAATCAGCAAGATCATGGGTGATAGTAGACAGCCTTGTTTTGCTCCTGTCCTTACTTCACTTCGAAGGCGTCACTGAGCTTCCCATTGTGAATTACTTGGCCGGCATATGGCATCTTCATATAGTTGTTGAATGAGACTGATAAAGGTTTGCGGTATTCCGTAGCTTTGAAGCAGTTTCCAAATTACTTGTCGGTCGACACTGTCAAAGGCCTTTTCAAAGTCGATGAAGTTGAGGTAGAGGGTTGACTGCTATTCCGTACTCTGTTCTATGATGATGCGTAGCGTTACAATTCGGTCCGCACATGATTTGTACTTCCTGGTCGTAGTTTTGAATCCAGTGCATCCTTTAGTCTCTCCAGGATGATGCGGCTTAATATTTTGCTTGCTTTGGGTGTACAGGAATGGAGCATAATTTCTCTCCAGTTCTTGCAAACACTTGGGTCGCCCTTCCTTGGAAGTTTGACAAGGTAACCTTTCTTCCGACCACCAGGTACCTTTACTTCCTTCCAGACCTTCTGCAACAGTGGTGTGAGCATGTCCGCCGTTGTCTCTGCGTCCGTTCTCAGTGCTTCTGGCGGGATTCCATCTGGTCCTGCTGCTCTCCCGCACTTCAGTAGCTTTATGGCGCTCAGGACTTCGACTTTCGTCGGAGGGCTTGTGTTTACTGGTAGTTCTGTGGCTTCAGGTGGTATTTCTGGACGAGTTGCAGGTGGTTGTTGTTGTTGGTGGTGGTGGTCGATTCAACAGTTTTTTGAAGTGGTCAGCCCACCGTTCCCTTCGTTTTTCTTCTTTGGTAATTGGATTTCCTTTATCATCTTTTATTGGTTTCATCTGTGTTAATCTCTTCCTTCCGAGATAGTAACCTGGTTATTTGATACAATGTTGTCAGGTCTCTATCTCTCCTACCTGCAGCCTGTTCCGCTTCACTTGCCAGTGTTTCGTAGAAGTGTCTTTTGTCTTTGCGCGCACTCTTCTTCACTTCTCTGTCCAGTGTTGTATACGTTGTACTCAGTTCCTCTTCTCGTTGTGCATCCTTGCACTGGTTTATCTTCTGCTTCACCATCCTCCTCTCCCTGCTCTATCAGCTTCCATGTGTCCATCGAGAACCATTCTTTACCTTCTTTCTTCTTCTTCCCTAATACGGTTGTGCAGGTTTCTTTCCACATCTCTTTCGAAGAGTTCCAGTGCTCATCCACACAGGTTCCTTCAGGGATGTTGCTCCATATCTCCCATTTTGTCTTGATGGCTGACGTGAAGATTTCCTTCGTCCTTCAGTTTCTGGGTGTTGAACTTCAATTGTGGTCTATCACCAGCTTCTCTGAAGGCTTTTTAATTGATTTGGAAGGTTCCTTGCACTGGATAGTGGTCTGGGCCTACATCTGCTCCCCTTCTTGACCTTGTGTCAAGTAGGCTGCGTCTCCACTTTCTTGAGATTGAGATAAAGTCGATCTGATTTTTAGTGTGTCCATCTGGTGAAATCAACTACATGTCACTTTGTGGATATCCTTGTGCTTGAACACACTGCCTCAAATCACCAAGTCGTTGGGTGCACAGAATTCTGCAGACGATTCTCCATTCTCGTTCATTTCACCTATCGCTCCTCTGCATATGGTTGGTTCTCTTCCTGTGCTGTCCGCTCCCGGTTTGGCATTCATGTCGCCCACTAGAATTTTGATATCGCCAACTGGGGAGGGGTCTTGTCCAGTGTTGATTGCAGTTGTTTGTAGAATTCCTCCCTTTTCTCTTCATCTCCATTATTTGTGGATGCATAGCGTAGCATTGTATGTTTGTGACGTTTCTTCCTTTTGAGTTGAATCCATCTTGCTGTCATGATCGTGATCCTGGAGGAGATTGGTTCCCACTGCATGAGAACTTTCGATGCTCTTGGGAAATCACGATAGCCACTTCAAAACTCAGTGTGCTCGTGGTTGTCGTCTGAGTGACAATATCGGAGTAGATTATTGATTCTCCAGTTGACAGTTTGGAGAGCCCACTTCCATTCCACCTGCAGATTTCTCGCAGATTCCAAGCACTTCAAAACTATACCTTCTCATCTCCTTTGCAATCTTGGCAGCCTTCCTAGGTCCATACATGGTGCGGACATCCCATGTCTCCATGTTTACTTTTGCTTTCATCGA